GAGGTTCCCGGCCAGGGCCCGCACGGTGAGCTGGGCTGGGGTTCCTCCCCCAGCTGCAGCCGCTGCTGCACGCCATGCTGCTGGCACCGGCCACATCTCCGGCAGGTGCAGCTCGCCGCTTCCAGAACCCACGTGAGCCAGCCAGGCCCTTCCAGGGCCTCCCTGATGCAGCCCACCGCGTGGAGGGCGGGCGCTGCACCCTGCAACCCCGCTGCGTCTCCCACGGGGAACCAGTGTCCAGTTCCTGGCACCTGCCTTCCTTCTTCCAGGTCCCAAGCTCCCTGGCAGAGGACGGCCACGCTGCTGCGAGGACCCCCGTGAAGCGCCATCCCCCCCACCCTCTCCCTGTCCTTCCTTCCCCAGGCTGTGGGCGCCTCCACCGTCATCTGCTGCCTTTGACCAGCGTTTCGACAGTGTCTGTGTTCTTGCCAGTGCCACCCGTGCTGGCATGCACCCCGACGGAGGTGGCAGGCTTCGAAGCCATTCCGGCAAAGCCCCAGCGTTTCCCAGGTTCCCGCGGACGTGCCAAGCGCAGGCTGCCTCCCCCGCTGGCGGGGGGTGGGGGGCGGCACTATCGTGTTCCTTCTCCTGAGGGCTCCGCAGTCCGCCTCCCTCCACTGTGCCCGGGAGCCGCCCCGCACCTCCGAAGGAGTCTGCGCAGGCCGCAGCTCCAGGTAACACCTGCAGCCGCTGTGTCGGTGCCTTTCCTCGCGTGGCCGGTCTCGCGCTGACCGTCGGGTGTCCCCTGGCACACGGGGAGCAGGCCCTCGTGGACCCTCGCTAATGGACACTTCCGAGCCACTGTCTGCTAACGATGGCGGCAGATCACAGACCAGCCGCAGAGGCCCAGCCCCCTGCAGACGGTGCAAACACAAACCGCTGCCCGGACACTAGGCTGCCCGAACCCCAGAGAAAGCATGGCGGGGTCATCAGAGTGGGATTAATGTCACGCGATAGACAATCCGCACAGCGAGCGTCGCCTCCGACCCCTGACCGGTGACCGACGCCTCCGCCAGTGGAAGCCGAGACGCGCGCGCGACCAGCGGAAACCGCGCTGCGGCCGGACGGAGCGATCTGTCCTCGACCCGCTCGAACCGGCCAGTCGACGAAACCCGCGAGGCTCAGAGCAGCCGCGGGGACGAAGCGCGTCCTGCCCCGCAAAAAGTGGTGGAGAAGTTCAACGGAAGCCAAGAGGCGGTCATGCTTCCGGTGCGCGCGAACCCCGCAGTCAGCTTTCCCACCAGGGCGGAGGGGTAAAGGCCCATGAGCTCATTTCTAAACCCATACTGGCTTGTCCCACGGATCGTCACCTCAGTCCAGGGAAGAGGACTTCGGCTGTGCACTTCTCGACACCGCGCGTGACGGGTGCCACGCAGCCCGCGCCACCGCGGCCCGACTGTGACGCCTGCGGTGCAAGTTCGTTTTCATACAAGTCAGGGTCTAGTGCCCTGCAGGGGTGAGGGGTCCGCGGGAGCCAGGCCGCGCGCCGGCCAGGGGACTCTCGAGCTCACTCGGCTTAATTGCGAGTGGAAAGTGCCCCAGACGCGCCGCCGTGAGCCGCGCAGGCTGAGGGATGAGTCTGGGCCGGGGAGCTGTCACCTGTCACTCTCTCACCGCAAACTTCTCCAAAGGCGGCTCCGTTGGGTCCACAGAGAACACAGGCGCGAACCGACTTTGTAAACGGGGCGCGCGCACCGAGCGGGGCGAGGGGGACACCAGTGGGCGGGCGGGGTTTAAATGTGACCCTC